AACATGTAGTATCGAACGTTCCCTTTGATGTACACCGACACTGCAGGAGCGAGCACACATTAGGAGATAAAAGCATTGCGCAATACAATTACTGCCGAGAACAGTTGATTATTATTATATTATTATGCGCCGTGCAATATCTGCTAAAATCTCCAACGCTAATCATGTTAGCAGAACGTATTATTTTTTGATGTTATCGCTCACCCATCATTAACATTTTTCCTAACAAAATTTTTTCCTAGAAAAAATCTTATCTATTATTATATTTTATCGTACATAATGCATACAGGATACATTACCGTCGTATTACCTCGTCGTACATTAGGTCGCTTGACATGGACAAAATATATGTTTTGATTTACATTAATTGAACTTTATTTTGTATGTGAAGAGGCACCGGACAACTAATACACAAGTCGACATACTTGAATATGTAACAGTAAGATTTGCGAGATCGTTTCTGCTCGGTGAACTTATAATGATAATTTCACATGCGTTTCCTACATGAAATACATAATATGATATTGATTCGCAGTAAAAGCTACAATATTATTGAGTGATACCGGATACGGTTTAAAATAAATTCCTGTGGATGTCCAGTGAGAAAACTAAAAATCATTAAAATGCTTTGAAGAAACCACAGTCGTTTGATCGTCGACCGGAAACGTGATGTCATCGTAGTCGACAGAATTAAAAACATTTAATAGCGTTATAAAGTACAAGCCTATTAAAATGTAAATTGTTCAGTACGGCTCTCCGGGTCAATAAACATAAACGTCAGTACAAAACATTTACATTACACTTACCAAAACGTTCGACTTCACTTTCTAATAGCGCTTTGTTAATTAACAAAGTTGCTTGCATATATTTGTGTGGACAGCGTAGAGAAATGTATAGAAATGCAGTGTTCATTAAAAATAACCCAATGCAATGCCCACAACATAATAATATGCAACCAAAAGGATCAGTTTCTAACGTGTGCTGCTAGATAGCTCTGTCTCTTGGATATTAACAAATACTCACTACTTATTCTACAAATTGCTCAGTAAACACAAATATGGCAATAAAAGTAATACATGCAGTTACTTTAAAAAATATTACATTTTAGTTAACATTTTTGACAAAGCTTAATTTGTTCGTTTATGGTCATATTACTTTTTGTCTGCAACACATATTATAATGTATAATAATAATAAACATCTTCACAATTCACTGTTTTACATAAAAAAGACTATATAAAATAATAATGAAAAGCAATTTTCTAATTACCTATATTGTCATTTTTTATCTACACAAAACCGAAACTGATAAAAATCCTTTGACGATTTCATAGGTAATTTATGTTGTCAGCTCGTCAGTTGAAAATAACAGTTTTAGAGATTCGAAAAAAAATGTATTCTATTTTTCCTCACCACCATACTTACGGATTTCCACTCTCGGAAATACTTATTTTTCTATCCAGTTAACGTCATTGCTATGTTATTATAATAGAGTAGAAATAATAACAGAGTAGAGCAATGGACGTGTATTGTTGTCGTCGGCCCTCATCACAAAATTCATAATGCGACACACGCGTTACAATAACATCTGCTGGATCCGCCTTCCGACTGGGGCACATGTGATGACCCTGCATTCATATCTAGTACCTAAAATGTTATAATTCCCAAAAATTGTGCTGGTACATATTGAAAATGGCAATGTAGTTGTCTATATACGCGTATGGAGTGTTTTTTTTTTTACTTTTGTACTGGCTAACTCTAGTTATGTCGTATTTTAGTTGTAAGTATCTCATCAAGAATGGAATCAGCGCCATTTATATAGGAATATTTTTACACCGTAATGAAGAATGTCACATCTTATATTAAAATATTGCCACAACAGTAATGTGCTACACTTGTGTGTTACACGTAATCCGCAGAAGCCAGAATATATAAAAAAAAAACGTTAACTTTAGTTTAATTAAAGAGGAGTAATTTATCTTGAGAAAGATATGATATTAAAAATACAAATTTTAACTTTATGTGTTTTATTTAACTTGTTATCATTTTTAATAATATATCCACCTTAATTTAAGCCATACTCAAGTGGAATTTTATTGCAATAAACGATTTTCTTATTAATTATTATACTCTATCATTGTACTTTTTACAGCTTATGTTATACTATTTTGGTGAGACGATACGCCGTTTTTTTTCCAACAATAATATTAATTTTTTGAAAGTATAAAGAACTTGCACTTATATAATATAATAATACATTACTTCGTTTGATTTTTGTTAACAAATAAAGATTTTCTATATTTTTCTAATTTCTTAATTTCTGTGTCTCTTTAAATGTTGCGCCAGGGTCATAGGCATCTTTCACCCCCTCCCCTTGCTACGGCCATGGCTATACTAATAAATCTTTAAATATTAATTGAGAAAATACCGCCACCGTTATGCAGCAGTAAATGATTATTATGTCCGCCGCTCATCCAATAAATCTTACAGTGATTATATATAATATATTTTTCATGTTACTGCGGTATATGCTAAGTGAGAAATGTATTAATTGGCTGCTGCGGTAGATTATGCAAGCAAGGCTTATATTTATTATTATTGAATTTTTTTCTACTAAATTTCAATAATATACGATTGATGAAACTCTATTCGGGTAACGCTAAAAATAAATGAATAATTTTAACACAAAATGTATTACCACCAACTGCTCGATAAATCATAATAATATTATAACATATAATTATACGTATATAATACAAAAAATGGATACCTCTACACGTTCAAAGAAACCAGAAAGAGTGTAATAAAATTAAATGTCTACGGTGTCTAAAATATGTAATGATGATAATTATTTTACTCAATATTCGCTACAAAATGATTTATAGCTATTGAGTTGGTCAATAAGATGTGATATAATGTGTTGTATAAACTAAATTTGTTTAAAATAACTTTGGGTAAATTTATGAACTTGGCCCAATGCTAATAGTCATTTTTGAAAACTTGCAATATCCAATGTCCTATAACTCAGTTTTTACTTGTCATTAAACAGCGGAGTTGTGTGGTTTTTTTTAAATTTTTTTATTGCGTTTCTCGTGCAGCACACAAACTATTACATATAATAATCAAAAGACAAAGGATCATTGTTGTGTGTCGTACCTATAAATTATTCGGTCGAATCCAATACAATGTACGATTTATGGTCACGGTCCGTCGAGTAACATATACCGCACCGTATGAATGAATGTACTAACTTAAGTTGTACAAGGATTTTGTTCAACAGCATAATGCGTGTATTGATAATGTTGTCAAAATGTATACAATGCGTTAGATTTGTTACCAGCGCTCCAGAGTGATAGTTTACTTAGGAGATCACAATATATATATGTACAGGGACTTCAACGCCTGTCGTTAATCGTTGATGTTTTTATGGCGTCAATATTATCTTGACAGTAAACATAATCGTACTTAATTTATATTTTATATCATGGTTATCCATTTTTGATAAATTACCAAGTTAAATTCTTGAGTGAGTAACAAACAAACGTTTATTTCAAAGTAATTTGAACACTTTCAGTTTGGTATAGTAATTCTTGAAGACCTGTGACCTCTTAGAAGATTTAGATACGGTTTAAAGGAAAATATTCAGTATTTTTTTTTTTTTTTTTTATGATACATAGGCCATATCTGTTCAACAAACTGTTTACCATTTCTGAAGAACTTGTTATTGTAATAGGGTCACATTCAGAGAATACATTTTAATTAAAAAAGTCGTTAAAACGGGGTTGTTCGACCAAGACTGTCACAACTAAATATTACTTCATTTATTTTTCCTAATTAAACATATATCTGTGTATACATTTATTGTTAATATTATCACTATTATTTATTATAACTCCGAGGAGTTCTTTATTTCTTGTGTTTTTTTTATTTCACTTTTTTATGTGTACCTAGTACATGACTAAAGTCTGGAAATAAATACTAAATGAACATATAATGCTGTGAGCTTATTACAATAACAAGTTCTTCAGAATTCGTAAGCAATTTTTTTAAACAGCTATGGTCTAGGTATCATAAAAAAAAATAATACCGAACCAGAAAATAACTGAATATTTTACATAAAAACGTACTTATACCTTCTAAACAAAGCGTTAAGCTAATATGAAAAAACAATAAAATGTGTTTTTATGTTTCACACCTAAAATATATTTTAGAATATTTAAATTTGTGTATCAACTATATTCATCATATTTTTTATGTTTCAAACAAACATTTGGATTATATCAGTTTCAGTTAAAAATTTTGCTAACACAAAAGCAACGATGCATTTTATTGCCTCCCTGGGCTTTGGCCTCTGTAAAGCTGTACTTAGAAATCTTAGAAGAGTAGTTTTTATAGAAAATGTTATTAACGTTGGCTGTGATAGTCTAGTAAAAAAATGAACTACCATTAATGAATCCATTATAATTAATACAATACTAATAACCTTACACCAAAATTATAACATTAAGTTAAATTCATGTACAAAATTACCTTTACCCAATGTGGAAACATAGTTTTTTGTTTTACCAACGAGTAACGACATTTTTAAACAGCAGTAACACTTTCCATCGCTTATGCAACAAACATACATATATGCAGATATGGAGTGGTCCATTAAACGGAAAAAATACTTAGTTGCATTAATGAATTTGATTGCATCCGTAACAACCAGATGTAGCTGTAGTGAATAATGGTTCCTTAAAAATATTTATTAGTCCAACAAAACTAAAATTACCTTAACTAAAGGCTTATTCGATAGAAATGTTATTTGGTATATAAACAACTACAAAATGGATGCAACCAATCTCCTGTTAATACAACAAAAAATAAATGTCCTTGTAACCATATTAATATAATCAAATATGCATTGTTAAACGTGCATCATTTTCCTGAAAATTGTGAAAACTGTAATATAATTAAAAAATAAAAAATACGTATACAATTTGTTATATTATAGCAACTTTAATATTCTTATAACCCTAATAACAATACAAATTCTTCAGCGCCAACGGCAATGTGTTGTAGAGTTTACTATTAAATAACATTTTTTTAACTTTTAACAATGTGTAAAAATAAATATTAAGTGTCGGTAAACATTTATCAAATTCATTCTCCAAATAATATTAAAGAGATTAAACATGTTGTCGTCAATGGTCAGTCAGTTTTTTGACGTATGCTTCTAATGCTTCACAGCGCGTTTCAAAAAAGGTTTTAAAGTAGCACTGTCCTTTGAAGTTTTGTAGTTTTTCCACAATAATTTTACCTTCTTCTATGGACTGTACATATAAAAATAATTAATAAAATCAACATGGAAATACAATTTTAAAGTAACGAAATAATTAAAAAATGAATTGATCGGTTGGGTGTTGTATGAGCACTCACTTCCGGACGACTGATAAGCTCTATTGCCATTTCGTATAGGGCGTAAGCGTATACGTGATCCCCATACTTGTGCTTCTTCATGTTGCCGATCAGTTCGTAAAGCATACTACCTCGACAATTGTCGCATTCCATCGTCTGTCGTCGACAAACGGCAATCAACAGTTTTTTTGTAAATCTCTGTGTTACTTTGTCCGTGTCGTCGTCCTGGCAATCTGATAACAGTTAAGTCTTGAATGTAGGTTAAATTATGTATATATATTCTTATGTCTGGAAGTTTAGATCTCAACACTGTCATCATTAAAAAGGCTGGTTTTAGGTTCGGCTAAACTTTATACGTTTATCATTTAGACTAGCTCTATTATTCCATGTAAAAAAAAAAAAAAAAGACTAAAATTGTTATAGCAAACAGAGAGTTGCTTCATAGGGGACTCCTCGTCGTCTATCAAGATAGATAAGCAACACAATCGGCGTAGCCTCAGGGTTGTCATTTTTATTTTTAGTCATAAAAGGAGGCTTGCAGTGTGTAAAATCTACAATGTTGATCCTATTTTCTCCTGAGACCTTAACTCAAAATGTTTAGACAGATTACAAAAAAAAAAAAACAAATTATTATTATACCAACCTAAGATAATATTACGGATAGTTTTGGAAGGCAGCAGCGACACTCCGTACACGACGTACAGTACTTCATAGGCGATCAGCTTGTAGTAAGCCGGATCGATTTTGGAGTTTGCCTTTAACTCTTTTATGATATCCGACGATTTTTGGGCCACGAAGGTTGAATAGAACTCGATTTTGTTTTCTCTCTTCATCGACTTCAACACGGATCTCAACATCTGCTTCACTTTGGTCGTTTCGCCCGACGCGCCGGCACATACTGAAATGTCGTTTAATGGAAATAAAAAATGGCAAACCTCAATGAACAAAAACAAACGCTGCACCGACCGGCGGCCAAGAAGTAGTGGTAAGACCGCATGGAACAACTGCTTTCGGCCGCCACGCAAAAACATTCTAACGCCGCATCCCAGTTGGCCAGCATCGTATACGTGAAGCCCATCTCTTGCAGACACCTGGCGTTCCAGTTCCTGTAGGTATTCACCCGGGACGCTGCCCCGAACGACCTTATCGACCCGACGAGGTCTCCCTGCGCATAATAAGTAATACAACATCATAAGACAAGGCCAAGTCACACTTATCAGCGCGTACTTTGAAGTAGGCACACCGTCCGGCAAAGAATTTCTGCAGCCACGTGCCCTTAAGCTCCCTGGGAGGATTGTACGTCAAATACTCGATCTCGTCCAAGCTGAATCCTCTGCATTCTCGGGCCAGCGGATCGTCGAACTCGATACCGGCGTTCATGACGTTCATGTGATACCACGACAGTATCAACCTGTACAACGTGCAAACCGTATCCACGTTAGAAAGAATACACCGGAAACCGCACTGCGATGTACACTGTCGTGCAAGGTTAATCCACCGCATAGGGTTCCGTCTAATCGTCTTATCACAAGTGTATTGATATTCATACCATGCCACGGGCGCGTGCATGCCGGGCCCGTTTTTTGCAAACGCCAGGGCGTCCAAACCGGTTTGGCGGTTTCCACGGAATCCCAACATGCTTAGAGTCATCGAGGATATTCTGGAAGGCACCAGCGACAGGAACAGATTTATCACTCCAAAACCCGTGCTGGCCGCTGTCATCAATCTGACGGCTTGTTCGGGCGTCATTCTGGCGGTCATGCTAAATCACATAGTAATTAGTTGTACAGGTAAAGTGTGTACACATACGATCAGTTCTCGGATAGACTCCATAAAACGTGTCCGAGTGTGTGTTACTTGTCTCGTGTGACACGCGTACTACTCACTCGTTTCTCCTAAACAATTCGAAGGAAGTCGTGGACGATCTGGGTATACCGTTCCCGAATCGGTTACCGGCAATCGTTGTAGACTGTCTACGTTTCAACACTGGCGGCCACTTGGGAACACCACGGTCTAAAGAGAAAAAAATCAATTAACTTTCAATCATACTACTACTACTTAAAGGCGTTTTTTTTTTTATTAATAGATTTCTTTAATCAAGCCTCTTTGTAGAAGTTAATAGGCGCAAAGTCAGCTAAGCTTAATAAAGCCCGCTCAAAGACTCAACCTTTCATCAATTTAGATTAATTCTGAATTTAAAGCCAAATAATCATTTTGCATACTCTAAGCTATCAGTTTAATATAATCAATTGAATACAATGTGTTTTTAAGTTAGAAAATATTATAACGACGGTTTAACGTACAGGTGTAATATGTGTATTGATTATAATTTTACAGATGCTTGCAAAATGTAAGTCCATAATGCTTTATCATTTATTGCGTTTAAAAACATATTGATACGGCCTATATATGAATAAGCTTAATGGCCGGTCCCAATAACAAGACGTGTAACTATGTTTACTGATTGTTATTATTGTAATTTTTGTTTCCATTGTATTACGCACTTTTGTTTTTGTAGTTATTATTTTGTATAAGAAATAGCTAGTAGCTGGTATTTTTATTTCTAAAAGTCACATTCGTGACGGTTTAACAGGCGCTAGCATTGGTATTCACAAGAACGTCAGTCATTCGGGGAGGAAGTAGTGTGCAAACCAGTCAGCTCCCAGGATGGCGATTACTTGAAAAAAAAGGAACACCAACCACCATTGAAAACGCATTGCCATTTCGACGAGTCTTTAACAGGAGCCGAGAAGGTATTGTGTTTTTATTTTTCTGGACCCACGATACCTCCCAAATCCCTGAACCGATTTATTCGTGTAGCATCGGAAATCGTTCCTGAAAGACACTTTATTGGGCCAACAATTTTAAAAGTTCATCCCTTCCCTTTCAAAAAGGATAAACACCTAACGAGTTTACACAGTTTGACGGCAGAACCGGTCCATCGATCGACAAAACAGTTTACAATATGTTAATATGTTGCCAAAACCTTAACAATAAGTAAAGGTTATTATAACTCACATAAATATACATATATTTTTAGATTTACTGTGAGCATGAGCCATGACAGTTGCTGTGTAAGTAAATATACAATACAGATGGACAGGTAACCAATATTATGGTATAGTTAAATATTAATAATTTAAAACGACCAATATAAGGATCTGGAATTAACTCCTGTCAAACTGTGGAATAACTTATAAACGTGCTTTTAACGGAAATCAAAGAGGTCCGGTTTTTTTTTTTAGCCAAAAACCGTCGATTGGTGATGGCAATTTCCACCGAACAGTTAACTCTGGACCCTACATTGCTTGATTTGGTAAAAAACCGTTTTCTGAAAACTTATAAAATCGGCCCTTATTAAAAACGCATTTTTTTAAATTAATTTAAACTAGTATTGATTGTTGTCCATTGATAATTATCACCCCCACCCGTCCCTACCAAGTCAAGTACTGCGTGGATTAGGTCTGTGTACGATGATGCCGGCATGTCCTCGCCTCATGAACTCAAATTGAAACTGTAACACTCATAGCTAATTTGGTTTACAAATGCATACATAAATCTCAAAAATACCTACATGCGCCTAAACTATATACTAACTATAACTTCCTCAAAGATCAATAGGCACAACACGACCGCGGTGTACTATTGCAAAAACTAATCTTGAACGTTTTGAATTTGACATTTAATATTAATTAAAGTTTTTTACTATAATTTCGTACAAAAAAAATATTTCCACATTTCATGCCAGCGTATAAGGGTTATAGCTCGCAGGAGTCCCGGCTAAGTCTGGGCATGATTGAGCCGAATGGTTCTCATGTCAACATGAGAACCATGAGTTACCTCGAGGGTAGCAGTAGGTACTGCTACCCTCAAGGTAAATGCATTAAACCTTCGATATGACCATGTCGGCTGCCCCAACGAAAAGGTCGTATCTCGTTTTTTGCAACTTTTCAGGATGAACCAAACAAACATTCAAATTTAAATTCTTATTCTGTTTTCAAACTGATATGTTAAAAACAGAATAAGAATTTCCCTTTTCGTTGGGGCAGTCGATGTATACTTTGCTCGGCTGGCTTCCGGGTTATAGAACCAAACTATGCTGGTACGCAGGCTCGGGACTGAGGGATTGAATATCCAGGCCCCGATTGTAGAAATCTTTCGGAGGTAGGAAACGAGCCTGGAATGGAATTTGGAGTATCCGGTACGAACACGTTGCTATGTTGACAAACAACGCGTTTATAATTTTTTTTTATAACTTTTTGGAATAGTACACGTTTTTATACCTCATTTCCGTCACAGAAGATTTCCAACACACATTATATTTCCAATGGCTTTTTATTGGTAAATACAATTCGAAACATCATCGTACACGGAGATACCACGTCAAAAAAAAAAAACGAGCCAAGTACTCTACCTCACGGGTGGTTTGGAAACGAGTACGAATACCCTGATTATAGGCATATTATATTACGTTGTGCTCAAGCTGACTACATATTTTCACGTTAAACGTATAATGATTTTCAAGAAGACCGCGTTTTGAAAGACAATTATTGAAAAATATAATTATTAGTTCATAACGCTATACTGTTTATTGCGTTTAAAAAAAACATATATTGTTGATACGACGGACGCAGCTGACGGACTTCAGCTGCCGAACGTCACCCGGGGGTAAGCACTACGCCAAACTATTCGCCCCCTCGCGGCTCCTCCTCCTCCTCCCCCCCCCCCAAAAAAAAATATTACACACTTAATTCCTAACCACAAAACTGTGTTTTCGTTATACAACATTACCGACGTCGAAAATGGCGCTGTACACTTTCAACACCGCTGCGTAACTCTGTTGGTACATTTTCCAAGCTCGGCTCATGCCGTAGACGGCCTTTGCGGCCGCGCCCACCGACATGGGTTCCACTGTGGCCGCGGTCAAGCTTCCCAAGTACACAAGTGCGTCGGCGCGGACGATTTGCCTGTCCAAGTCGTCCACGTCCGGATTGAGGGAAAAGCGAAACAGCTTGTGCTTGACCGTGGTCAGCCAACTGCCAATGTCGACGGCACACCGCTCTTCCAGTTGGCGACAACAGGAAAACGCTGCATCTTGACTCGGCGAATAATTCGGAGTTTCCAACAGCAAATACTGCAAGTAAAGGGGAATAGAACACTTGAGAGGCCGTGAAAACCACATAAATAAGCTGCAGTAAAAAATGTACCCTCGTACACGTGTAGCCAAGTCCGACTTTAGATTGTCGCGATACCTTGGTAATGCGTTGCTAAACGCAAAGCAACTCACTGAAAGCTTACGCTTGAAAAAAATGCTCGGCGTTTTGATGGTATGATATAATTTTCCTCTCGCACTTGAGTTTTTTTTTTATTAATAAAAATTATAATATTGAATTCAAAGTAAACGAAAATGTTCTGTACTGTGAAATTATATTTCCACTCATGTTAATCCAATAATATTAAACATCTTAAAAGGCGCAAAAAAAACGGGTCTTGCTAAATCAAAAAAATATATTTTAATTTTGTTCAAACGCCATTTGATAGGTTATCGTTCATTATTTTTTAAGAGGGGAGTTTGTTATTATTTTTATATCAAACATTACAGTTTTAATATTATTTTTCAAGAAAATATTTATTAAACACATTTGAAGCTTCACATATTATCGTTCATAACTTTTATCTTTAAAAACTCTTGTTATAATTTTCCTTTTATATTATCAAATTACAATTATCTGGTCATTTTATTTTCACGCCTTACACGTTTCATCCTTTGTGTAATGTTATTAATTAAAAATATCACGCTGTATAAAATATATTGTGTTTTCATAACACATTGAGTTGGTGTTCTGAGATTAAACTATACCTATCAAATTGTTTCACGTAAAAAAAGAATTACCCACCTTTACGGTTGAAATAAAACAACTGCAGTTTGCGATATGCAGGTCATCTGGTTTTGTGGCCAAAAGTAGTTGAGCGCCGGACAGATCTCCTTGCATCACCATGCATACGGCTCTCCTAGATGTTTTCCATGACGGCTCGTCATTAGTTTGCGAAGACATGGGCCGAAGACAAAAGTGTTTCCAAAATAAACCAAAACCTGTATAGACCAATAGACAAATAGACACATTCATGGTCCAACGTTTTTCCTTCAAGGGAAAAACTAACGAGGTTTTTTATACTTGTTAATAATCAGTTTTAATATGTGTACATATTTCTCATGCTAACAGGTTTTAAAGTTTTAGATTATGTTAAAATAAGGAACATACTTCTATTTCTATGAATTATGATTTAAAAAACGATTGTGTCTGTATTACAAATTCCAGATTAGCCTCTTCCCATCCTCACTTTACATCATTTTTTAAACAGCGGCTGAAAATTCACTATGTCTACTTTTCACATCACCAACCGTGGCGCATGAAAAACTCATTCGAACTTTGGTATTGCGCTTGGATGTGTAAAGTGCATTTTATGTAATTTTACCGAAACAACGTTTGAAAGTTCATAAATGTCATTCCGTACATTCGAACAACTCGACATGGCCTTTAATAGATGTGATATCTAATTAATAATACGGTTGTTGCTGTACTGTTATGTTTATGGTGGACAATAAATTTGCACACCGAAGAACTACCCAATATAGACAGTGGCGTACACTACTATTGTAAGGGCCAAAATAATTAATTGTGTACTCACTCGATTGCGCCCCAGTAATGTTATATAATCGTTCATGAATAGTTTTGATACGTTTTGGTATTGCTTACAAATATATATTTACCGAAATGCCGAAATAAAACTTATAAAATAGACATTGGCGAACAAATTGTTTAACCACCGACGGACATCAGCTAAATGACTTTGGCGCACAATACGGTCATCACGCTATACACTATAGGAATATGTACATACATACAACATAGGGCTTGTGTATAGTATTAGGTTAAGGGAAAAACTGCTACCGAGTTACACGCGGGGTGTTCGATCGATTCGACTGTACGTCTATGACCTTGTTTAATGTTTTTTTTTTTTTTTTTTTTTAACGCATTCATTGCTGTCAATATTATATTTCGTACTTTCTATTCATATATAATAAGCGAATATGTTGTGTAACTCGCCGAGTTGGAAAATACAAACTAAGACCCGGCTCAGCAATCGCAAATGTATTTTCTTGTTAGGTACACCCCGAACAATAACGACCCGGTATACTGAAGTATTAAGGGTTGGAAAAAAAAATTACTCAACATTTTCCAACAATACTCGTATATGTATGTGAGGTACAGCTCATATAAAAAAAAACATATATAATTTCTTCTCCAACTTTACGTTGGATTTAACATGTAAAAATTCTTTGCGCAATGATGATCCAGTCATTTTTTCAGATCCTTGTTAATCCAGTCGGTCGCGATGGCCGCTATCTCGTCGGAATACCTGAGCACGAAAGCGTGTTGGTACCCTTTGTCGCACAGCACGGCCTCGGCCTCGGGCACCTGCTTATGGATCTCATCGTAGAACGGTACTGGCACCCATCCGTCACAGTTTCCAAAGTACATGTGCAGCTTTGATGCGTTATCGTTTAAAACCTACAAAACAATAGCGTGTAATTACATGTTGTCATACATTTGGTACATTTTCAAGTATAAACAAGTCCTGTGTCTTCTCTCCCCCCCCCTTCTTTCTCAACAATTGATAATACGTTTCTGTCCAAGTTTCAGCGGATAAAAGCAGAGTGTCGGTTTGGCAATATATTGCTCCTACACACCAAAAGAAATAATGACCTTTAATTGGCTAATTAGACGATAGGCTAAAGAGCTAACGAAATACTTAGTTGAAAATATAAAACTGTCACGTCATTAGCACAGCTAGCAACCTTATAACGTGAAGTATATAGTCATTATGAATTTGATTTCGAATTTCAAGTATATAAAAAGAAATGTTGACCAATCTTATAGATAATAACATTGTCACTGTTTATAAGTCATTAGCCGACGTATTAAACATTAATATAGCAGAGAAATATCAATTAAAAAATGATGTATGACAATAAAAAAAATTTACCGTTTACCCTTCGACATATAAGTCACCAAAATAGTTGTCTGCTTTATTTCAAGACACTCGTTAAACTGTTTATCGCCCGTTTACTTACAAAATGATTCACCAAAGTACACATTACTAAGTGTACTTATTGAAGTTTTTTTCAAACGTACAATTTAATAATTTTGCCCGTCTTCGGAATTGACAACAAAATAATTTTAAAACCACTTTACTTGACTCTGGGAAACAAAGTCAGAGAACATATGGATGGGTATTTCGATTCCCTATGTAAAAATAATGATGATAATAAATAATAACAATCGTCCGTCTTTTCTTTATGGATCTACCGATCCATTGTTATGGTCATTCTTTTCAAAGCGGAATAATAAGAACAAGGCGAGCGTATTCGGGATAGATTCGAAATCTTATTAAGTTTTTCTTTGTCTATTCGAGGTTCATTTTAACGATAATAAAGCGCTCGATTGTAAATTCTTCAGACGACTTAGTAGAAGGCAGTTCCACAAAAATCTACGTTGTTTAAATAAAATGTATAAATATTGATAAACATAATATAACTTTCTTCTAGTTTTGTATAATAGGTATTTTAATAGAAACGATATTCACATACTATTATTTTGAAATGAACGGGTATTTTAAAAAACGTGTCTGTCGATAAGAAGAAAAACAAAAGCATCAGTTTGACATCAGACAAAAAAAAACCGCTGTCGGTAAACTATTAGTAACTAAACATGTGGGCAGATGACGCTAATGTAATAGTGCCTTCGAAAATCAATGTAAGCCATTTTATTCAGAGTATAGTACATAATATTATATTTAGAAACGTTTAAAAAGAAAAAAACATTTAAAATATAACACTACCTAAGTTTTGTAATAGATTTTATAAAAAAATATTGCCTTAATGTTCCTAATTTTTTTTCCGTATGAAAAATTGCCTATACATAACCCCTTAAAAAGTGTCGGTATGTTTAAGTCCTAAAGTTGCAAAGAAATGGTAATTATATTGTCAAATAAGAAACTTGAAATTATGCTCCCTGACAATCAAATCATTTTGTTATTAATTTATTGACTATAGGTATTTCTTGTAGTTTTTAGAGTAGGTAACATTTAATTAACTCTTTAGGAATTATTAATTTTTACATAAAAAAACACCACACACAGTCTAGTTTTCACGGATAATAATTAGTTAAAAATTAAATGGATATATATAATAAACATTTAACGTTTAACTGTAGGTTACTAACCTAACCTACAGTATCCATGCAGCAAAAAACGTACCTTGGAATCCAATTCGTATACTTTGTCCATCTCGTCCAGTGCCATGGCAAACACATTTCGCAATACCGTTGGATGGACCAAGACCAAACCGGACCTGACCAGGTAATCGTCGACAGACCTGCCTTCCATTATCATCAGTGTCATTTTCACTAAGGACTTTTTGATAAAATTAGGGAATGTTGTAAAAATCTGCAACAAAAACAGTGTTGTTAACCGTATAATATCATCAACAACGTTTGATCTCTTGTTTATTTATTACTTGTAAGATTTTTAAACGAAATTAAATTGTTGATTTTTAGTTGCAGAATTTAACCAAGTGTGTGGTATGAACGCAGTAACTGTTATACACATGATAATATTATACAGCTGTACGAGACGACAACGCGATGAAACCCTTTAATGTATTTCAGTAATGTTTTAATGAAAAAAACGTGTCGTTCAAAATGCAACGAATAAAGCAACACATGGATATTCATTAGTATTACAAAAATGGTACATCTAGCGGTTGCGTTAGTGGGAAAAAAAAAATTAAAAAAACGACAATATAATGCATAAAAAATACAATTGCAATACGGTTTGTTCTGTGCCGAAAAATGCATTTTAATTGGCTGTGACGAAATCGTTGCTACTTGTTGATAAATATTGGCTTAACATAGTCTGTTAAGCATGTAAAACACAATACGGCTTGCCTCTTTATGCTTGTACGAGATGTAGATCAATCTTTTGCCAAAAATCTGTACAAAACATTTAAAGCGCCTAATATTTTACAAAAAATCATATAAATAATACACGCCATTAAATCTTTTACACGATAATAAATGGTCGCAACCGTTTTTTACGGTATTTTTTTTATGTATTTCCTTTACTGTCACGTGACGCCAACTGTGTTACTGCATTCGGTTGGCCATCACTCGAAATTGGCGCAATCGAAAATAAAATGTCTAGTAATGTACCAAATTGGACGTCCTTTATTAATATTATTTGATGTATAATAATTATTGTCACTCTACCTAACCTCTCCGTAGTAGGTTTACTAACTAAAAGCAGCTATTTCCTTGTGGGTATTATAATAATTCGTCTGTGGGGTGAACGGTACCGCCTTTGAGAGTCACAACTAAAGGGGCACGATGGGGGCACGATGGAAAATAACATGCAGACAACAATTAATACTGGCATAATGTCATTTCCGACAGTTTCCAAACGCCAGGTGGCAGTTTACATAACATAGGCGGCTCTGCCGGTGCAAGCGTCTCGATTCTATACACACACTGGAACGTGCCAAGAGTAACCGAATACCGATTTTTCAAGGATTTAGTTGAGCCGAAAGACTCTGATGCACTCATGCGCGAACAACCCGGAGAACACTCGGCCCGGTGCGACCGTAACAAACCAGTTCCAGTATGTCGTCGTGTCCAAAAGGAAATGCACGAAAACAATATAGTTAATCCACACGACGAGCTACTCTTCTTTTTCCCCGTTAAATCAAGTTATTTCTAATGCGACTTTTATGTATACATGAGGTTTGACAAAGTTATTAACACAAAAACGATGGAGCCCCCCCCAGGTCCTTGGGGAAATCGTCAAAAGACATTGTGGCCGTTGCAATATCACTTTTTAATGACTATCTCAATATATATATATATATATATATATATATATATATATTTCACTTAAAACCACCGTAAGAAAACCATGTCGAGTATAGTAAACGCGTGTGTTGATGTCGAACGCCTGAAAAGCACGCTCGACTGTCGTCAAATCCGGATAATCCCATCACACTCACATTTTTTAAGGAAAAGATTTTGATTTATTAACTATTTTCTCTTTTGCGGTTTTCGTTGTTAAAACTTTATCGTTTTTTACTTGGGCGTCATCTAGTTTTAACTAAAAAAACTATTCCCAACTACATTAAAACCATTCTATTTTACAAATTAAACGCACAGAGTTAAAACATCAACCTGAACCATATATTATTGCCCATAAGTTGTGCCGATAATTCGACGTTCATTTATAGAGTAATAAATAATATTTATTTCGTTTTAAGCAAATTTAACTCGTCCAATATTTAAACCATAGCTTAATAATAATAATTCCATTTGATAAAGGTTGAAATTCCAAAGTACCTACCAAATTACCATCAATCATTACAACGAAATTTCAATGGAGTATAAGTCACGCATATGCTACAGGTGGAAAACATATATTTGTTCTGTTATGTCAACAACCAGTTCTGTTGTTTTTCCATTGTCAATCGAAAAATTGCACATGTGTTGTTACAATGCGAGAAACAAGTAAATTCTTCACGGTTGCGCTCGTAGTTTATATAAGCACACACTCAACACAATACACCAACGCCTCAATTTTTGCAAATGTCCTGTTAATTAAAAACACTACTATACAGCAGTTGGCAGTCAACACAACTTACCCAAGATAGGAACAACGTGGTGCTCAGAAGATACGAAGTCATCGTTATGAGATTGTGGCCGTTGGGGGTGTCGCGCATCTTCTTCAGGGTGGGGAAAAAGAACAGCGCTTGTTTAATGTTCACCCTAGTGGTCATCGTCTCGTCCTTGAGCATTTCCGATATGATTTTCGTGCCGATCGAATGGCCAGCCAAGTATAGTTCACATTTGTCCGGCACGTACTTCTCGACAAACCGTAGCTTGTGTTCCACTTGACCCTGTAATGTGTACAATTCGGGATGGGCTTTTTGGTCGGGAACCCTTAACTCTGAATTGGCCGGAGGCATCTCGTGACCTGGTGAAAATACAGTGTTAGAACAATACTTACTTCTCTACCGTTGTAATTGTAAAAAGTAAAAAACAATATGTAGGTTAAGAATAGAATTCAAACCGGGAAATTCAAGCCATAAACAAATGCTCACAAGTTCTCCCGAAAATTATTTCTCATTAGCACAGCAAATAAAGGTTAATCCTTAAATCCAAATTTTTTGGATTTAATACATTTAAACGTGCGTTTGAATTTCAATTCCACTAATGTAAAATTATATTCTCGCCATTTCCATAAAAACGTACACACATTTTTGCTCTCAAAACCTTCAAAGGAAAACGCTACAACCGCTTACGTCCGCTAGTGCTTATATCATAAGCACTTGGCCTCAATAGATTCTAGTTAATTGTTTTTAAAATAAAAGTAGGCGAATGTTTAACTTTATTCATATTTATCGCGTTGTGACTTCCGAAAGAAAATGTCACGTACCTACTTAACTGGCTGCTTAAATGTAATATATAACGTGTATACGGTATATCAGAATGCGTGGACGACATGTAAACATTATTTTATGGCTCGGAACACAGTAAGGGTCATAAAAAAATGCTTTAAAAAAACCATGCGTCCTTAAAAGAAACGCAGTTGTCGGTTTTTTTCTAATACCAAAACCCTCATAGTGCCTATACTTAATAATCTTACGTTTAGCGGTCACACGGATTTCCCAAACTAAAAAAACTTTAATTTTTTTTTAAACCAAAGCGGCAACAGAATAGATTTATTGGTTTCGTGGTTTGCTTCGTTCAGTTGTATTATAATAATAAAAACCGACGGGTGGCCTATATTGCTCCAAGACAAGAAACAGCAACAATAATTAACTTCCCGGTTGACGGAAGACTTATGCGCCGTTTGAACAAATACTATAAGCTCTTATTTGTTCTTAAGTATACAGTTTCAACAGCTTTAATATTTGAGTGCGAGTATGAAATATATTGGCGAGTAAAACATGTACAGTAAACGACATTGTAAAAGCTCTTTGATCTTCCATCGAGCGCATAAGAATATTATGGTATAACTTAGATCAATGTAATTACAATTACTAACCGTGGTCCTCCGTTTTCCGTGCATAGTATTATAACCCAATAAAGTATCCCACTCGTGTCAAATGGTCTTATGTAATTTGTAAGGGTCACTATAATATAGTTTCCAAGTAAATATTTTATTACATTAACCCCATAATATGTTTTAATAATATCCTTTTAAATTTTACACAGCGTGGAACCTATATTAGGCCTTTTCGATCGAGAGGGGCGTTTTACCAGAATGTAAACCTTAATAATTAAATTTTGGACTGGACAAGCGTTCCAATTGCATTAATATCATGTATTATTAATGTATGTGCATATTATAATATGCACATACATTTAGGCGTCAAGTATGAGTTACAAAAAACGTTTCAAAAACGAGGAAACCGGCATGGCCAAAAAATATGTTTACTGCAAAATTGTTAAAGCAAAAAAAACATTATTTAATACTACACTATTTACTCAAAAGTTAAAATAGAAATTATTCGCTAAGTACAATACCATATCAGAAAGATTAAAATTCTGAACAATTTGTTTATTGTACTAAAATGACTAAAAATTGCACAATGCTTGGTAAAGACACTTTTTTTTTTTTAATAACAGAGAAAGTAATTTAGTAATTGCTAAGACCTAGAATTAGAATCTGTTGTCCCTAGAAAAAGCCATAATCCTTTTAAAACAAATATCTTGTCATTAAACTGATGATGTTAAAACAATATGGGTTGTATTGTAAATGTGTGTTCACGCGTTTAGTAATAAAAAAAAGTTCTAAATTAACGTCCCCGACAATTTATTATTAAGATGTAATAAAAATTATAATTAGGCGGTAACAATATACTAATACGGAAATTACTGTATTAGTATTTAACGATGTAATATTATTCGCATTAACATATTCAAGATCTCTGAGAGATGGCAAGCATAAACATTGGAGTTTTCTAATGTCCACAGATGCAAGTCAGCAAAATCATGGAAAGCAAAAATAAATCGAGTGAAGGTAAAATAGATGAAAACTTTATAATTATACTTTCTCTCTTATGTCGGATGTTTGCTTTAATGGTATTTCTCTTAGCTTGACATTTTCTCTAACAACTAATCACGAAAAGACGGTCATCTAGCAGCACGTTAGATCTGTGATCTTGTTAATTTTTCAACTTACCGGCATGAGACACCACCCAGGCTGGAATGCCGGTGGCCTTGTGCAATTCCTCCAGGAATCGTTCGTAGAAGACTGTCACGCCCGGGTTGCCACACACGAATACCAGCAATCTGTCAATGGGTTTGTCACCGTCCGCGGCCACACTCCGGCCACAGCACAACACCCTAGTGGCCACTCCGTTGACTTCCAACCAGTGGTCGGTGGCAGCTGGGGCCGACTTGCCTTCCATCGTCGGTGTTTCCAGACTGTAAACACACATAACCGCACACAGCTATAATATTATATTAGTGTTGTGTAATGGTTCACTATGCGAAACGATTAAAACTATCAAATTAATTGGCAAATTCAAGTTTCCTCGGCGTAACAAACCGGTATAGTAAACGGCGAGTATGTAATGTATTATGCTAATTGCCATAATATTAAAATAGGCCAAATAATAACGCGTAGATTTCAATTGACAGTCCGAAGATTTTTTAATCCGAAGATATTTACAAACGACCAATCATATCGTCGTGGTTGTGCAAAAATACTCAAAGTAATATATATTTATTGTAAAAGTTCTATCTCTTATTATGATGTAATTTCTAATATGCGCCGACAAAATACCAAAGGCCCGCATGCTTGTACAACGTATTATCTATTATTTATATTAAACAATAGAGCCCAACACATTCGGTCGATTAACTTCTATTGAATGCGCTAAAACGCCCCAGTCGGGCTCAACATATTCTGCATAACTAACCGTAATGAAAATATTTAATACCTCCAAACCGCAATAATATCGCACGCTATTATGATCAGTTCTTGAAGTGTTAATAAATTAACGTGACTATTATATACTATATAATACTATTACTAGATAGTATTAGATACTATTAGGTAGTATTTCAAAACAGCAATATTAATAGCTCGACGTTACAAAAATAAAACCGACGTTGAACAGTAATTATAAAATGCGCAACCAGCGAACTCGTCTCACTGCTAATAGGTTTAACTAGATGTGTTATTATAATAATATATTAATACACGCATTCTATTTGTATAATCCAAGTTCCAAGTCGGATTTACATTAATTAAACACCAATACATATGTTTTTAATTTTAAATACTTGATTCTTTCACCCAATTTTGCACTGCTCGTGCACAGAGACACGCGACAGAATGGGCTGATCTAGTTTTTAGGTTAATGGACATGTGTATTGTCTTTGGTCCTAAGCATGATTCTTATTCATGAACGTTTTCACTCAGTAATTACTATATTACTAATTAATACTACTGTATTAATTAGAAAAAAATACCACTTGAGTGTGTTTGATGTATCAAACTAAATTAAAGCTACTTAAACTGTCAGTTTGAAATAGTATACGTTTTATATGAATAACTCACTGCAATAAAAATATAATTACATTTAATTAAAATGAGTATAATTAAAACAAATTTAAATTTAATTGTACTCAAATAGAAAAATCCTATCTATAGGTCTAAGCACATATTTTATGCATATTTAGACAGGTAAACTTGGTAAAAACATAACCCCCGGACTCATAAGTACTTTTGATTTATTTAAACGGAAAATTGACACTAGATGTTTGCCTACCTGAAGTCGGAAGACCGCCCAAGCCAGTCATATTATGTAAACATTCGATTTATATTGTACATAAATATTTGATTTGCTCATTAATCGACTTTTCTAATCGATATACATAGGCTGAAAATCTCATGTAACGCGGAAATTAAATCTACCTAACAGTTGGTCAAACTCAACATGTATTTCATAATGATTAATAATAATTCAGCATTTAGCGGCGGATCACTGATAAAATAGATAAATAATTTCATTATTCTCATGTTCTGCGATGTAACTTATCAATCGAGTGCAATATTGTAATAATATGTCTATCAGAAACCCGAAGCTAATTTTTTTATAACACTAATAATCGGCAACGTTTTGTCACTGCTGTCCTAAATTGAAACTATTTTTGTTTAGCTCCTTTACATATCATTTTGAATACACAATTTAGTATTCCACGATGAGAAGTTGTGTAAACCGTTGACCAGATTGGGTCACTGTCATGTCATGGCATTATTATATCGCATATCTGTAAAATAATACATATACATAAGTATTATACTCATTCGACGACCTATACTTGTGCTCGGAATGTTAACAAAAATTATACCTAAACGTGTAAACACTTCAACAGAGATCGGTTACATCTAAACGGAACAAGTACGTACGCAGTGTAGGTATGTATATAATTAGACATGATGCTTTCACTCTCATCTAATGCCACATAGAACAAGCGTCGTGTGTTGTGGCCCATATAGTATGTTAAGAATATTATATTTCCACATAGCTATTATGTAGACAAATATATAAATATTTATATGGCAATGCCGTTTTGTTAATCGCAGTTGTTTCACACAAAGAGGTCATTAACTAACTTTAAGCGAAACAGTTGTTTTATAACGTTATGATAAGAGTTTTCTTGTGAAAATATAAATTAAATAGTACCAAACTATGGTTCAACATGACTTTAGTTGTACCCAAACTTATGAAACGTATATCATTCAGAGCATGTTAAATATCATACAAATGCGCAATTGTTATTAAGCCATAGTTTTTTTTTTTTTTTTACATTTAATGCGAAACTGAGAATTTTTTGGTTCTACAACGATTAGTTATTTTTTTTTTCTTGCAATCAGTCATATATACAACATAAAAACTGATATTTAAACTGAAAATAAAACTTAAGTCAATTTAATTAAGCAATTAATTCACTCTCAATGAAAAATAATGGATTATGAGTTATTTTAAGTAACATCTAATAAAACTTGCTCTACCACCTCTACTAAGCAAAAGTCACTCCTTTCGAATTAAAGCTTGCACGCAGTTTAACAGTAAATTTTGATATACCTACGAACTTTGTTCACGTTTTCAGTACATAATTTATTTTTCTACTTATTAATAATAATGATATTGTCCACTATTATTACTATGTGTATCAAATAGTGTTAGATGTATCATAATCTAGTTCACTGAACCGTATCCTAAAGCTAACATCATGTTTTTTTTAAAAGTAGTTTGGAAATAATTGTATAAAATATAAAACTGATTTGTAATTAATGTAAATTGTAATGCAATATAAATCGTATTACATTATACTAATTAAAACATTACAGTTTAAGAGTAATACAATTTTTGCGTTTTATAATATTTTTTTAGTTACAAAAACCCCGTTTTGAGAAAGTTACTCCATAAAAATCAGTAAATATGGTATTGTTTTATACATTTATATTCTAAAACCAATGCTCAGATTAGTTTAATAATTTTTTTTTCTACACAGTACTTTAATAGTTTTTTTTATTGCTTTTGTAATAAAACATAGCAAACTACTAATACTTATAATTTGGTTTTTAATACTAGACCTACTAATTGTTATTTATTATCTGAATAAAATAGCAGCGAAAAATAACAATTAACCACTAATTTAACAAATTTGCCTCGTTTTTAAAAATCATCTTTCTTGTATTAAATATTTACTTTTTTTTAAATACAACTAACAATTTGTACTGATCTATCTTGACAGTTCTTTTCATATTATATTTTGTAGTAGAACACAACTGAGCCCAGAAAACGTTAGTATAATTTTTTTAATTTTATTCCAGTAATTCTGCGGTAACGGGCTACAGGTGCATACAAAGACTATCACGATTAGAGATCCGTTGAAAATGGCATCTCGCAAAGTAGGTGGACGACCTTCAATATTGTCAAAAACTGGATAGACCTCTGCCCGTTTGGCCACTGCTCTGGCTCGGGCGCACAACTGATAACACCAACGTCACTACACTGTGATAGGAGTAAGTTTTTTATAATGCGGACTCGATAAAATAACCGATTTTCGATCGGGTGTTGAATGCAAAACGACCACGGACGAGTCGTTGCAACGCCACCAGCTGATCCGGTCGCATTATTCCCTTTGCCCGGATCAGCTGCACAGACTGCACTCGTGTGCCTGCGTGCTCAGCATCTAACCGCCGTTTGATACCACGGTAAATCATCGTACTATGCATATTGTTTATTATTGTGTTTTTTTTTTTTTTTATTAATGCGAAATCAGTACCGCGCTGGTCTAATCTATACTACTATACTCACGCGACAGACGACGGTGCTGTGCCCAAAGTCCAAGCGGACCGACTGCGGCGGTCGTGTGCCACACGTGTCGACGATGACGGCAGTGCGCGCCGGCAAAGGGCGATAACGGCGGTGCACGGGCAACGCGTCGTGGCCGGCCGCAATACTGAACGGATGACGTGCGACGACGGCGAGCGACGACTAGTCAGGGAGAGTGCGCTCACAGCAATGGTTTTTTTTGCAATAACATCTGACATCACCAAACCGATAGCGGCTGCTACTAGTAGGTAATAATAACATGTTCGTAGGTAACGGCAAAAAAAAAAAACGACGATACCGCCAAAACGATTGAATCCTATATTCGCCGTGTCGCCGTTGCCACTTCCCCCGGCTAAACTTCTACGCCGACCCGTCGAAGGTAGAGAGAGAGTGGTCTACGCACAAGGCGAGGTGGCCGCGCGCACACCTACACACACACACGCGCGCGCGCGCGCGCGCACACACATCAGTAAACAGTGTGACCTCAGCCGCGCGCCTTAAACTACCGTACAACAATCGAATAGTTCCTTTTACAAAAGCTAAAACTTCAAAACCCTAGACTTGATGATAGTATCGGCGACGGACCGGACAATAATAATTATCGTTAACGATGAACCGAACATAAAAAGCCGGGTTCAACGATTCGACACTCTTGATTGTCGGTAAACGTGACACGAATCAAAAAAGGATGATAAAATATATTCTAGTGGGTAGTGCGACATATCCTCTCTGTATGTTTGGCGAGTAGACGGAAAAAGTTTAGAACCAAAACAAAATGTAATCTATTTAATTTCTTTCTCTTCTCCTCTGAAATCTGGGTCTTGTATTTTCTATTTACACTTATATACCTCCTCTAGATCGTCGCCGAGTTTGGTCGAACCAGTCTACCCAAGGTAGCCATAAACTAGCAGTAGTGCTAGTAAGACGACCAAATTACCGTCATAGCCAGCGCAGTGGCGAGATTGGTCAAAGGTATAAAAGGAACAGGATATAGGGCAGAATACCTACTCAGCGTAGAACGGTACGCCTTACATTTTTGGGAATCTATATTTTGCTTATATATGGTAAATATTTTATTTTAACTTTTGTGTTTAAAAGATTTCTGTTAATTTAAAAAAAAAAAGATTTTTGGTCAAAATGTTATTTGTAATGTTGTATTACAGTTAATTGGTCCTTATTATTTCGAAACTTAAGATGAAGAAGAACTTAGAAAATGCTAAAAAAAAATCGCCAAATTGCCGTCCTAGTTACTCGCTAAAGTGATTTTGAAGGCGCTAACGAATGAAGGTTAATTTATTTTATAATATAAAAACTTTTTTACCATTAAATTATAGTTTACCATAAATAAATAATTTATTTATTCCCCTAATTCAACATCATCGTATATTATTTTTTAACAATGTGTTTATTAAGTAGAAATACAATTAATTAGTTCAATAAAACTTTAATTAAAACAATTTTTAATTAAAATTTTGATTAAATTAAAAAACGTAATTAAATAAAGAAAATGATGCAGATATATAACGTAAACAAATTATAATTAGTTAATACTTTTGATATTTTAATTTTAGTTATATATATTTTTTTAATTTATTATACAGGGTGTTCCAGCATGAAAGGTAAGTATTAGGTGATTGGACATCTGGAACACCCCCAAATAAGCCCCCCGTTTTTATTTTTTCGATAAGTCAAAAATTGAAGGTTTCGATAGTTAAGTGAAAAAATAATGACCTAAAAAAACAAAAAATTATTCCATGTTATTCAGTGCAAAAAGCTAACCGTAAAAGAGGGGTCACATCATTTTCAGTCCCTTTCGGCCCCTAACTCAACAAATGATAAGAGAAAAATGATTAGAGACCAGAAATAAATTGTAAGTGATAAAAGATAAATGCTAAGACATAATTGATAAGAGATAAATTATGAGAGATTTGAGATGAATGATAGGATGGATGAGAGATAAGTGCTAAATGATAAGAATTTGGAGATAAATAATTAGAAACAAGAGATAAGAAATAAATAATAAGATATTAGTGATAAGAGATTAATGATTAGAGGCTAGAGGTAAGAAAAAAAAGTGATAAGAGAAGAGTTAGGGGCTGAAAAAGACTGAAAATGATGTGACCCCTCTTTTAAGGTGAGCTTTTTGCACTGATTAACTGGGAATAATTTTTTTTTTTTAACTGTCGAAATCTTCAATTTTTGACTAATCGAAAAAATGAAAACGGGGAGCTTATTTGGGGTTCCCCCAGATGTCCAATCACCTATTACTTACCTTTCATGCTGGAACACCCTGTATATATATATATATATATATAGGCGAAGCGGCCACCTAAGCGAGAATTGAAAAATCTTTGGAACTCAAAATCCAGATATTTCGTTATTCATTAAATTCGAACTATAAAGTTGTTAGATATTATCAGTATTATGTACCTATATTAATTTCAGATTTTTAAAAAAAGTAAATTTTTTTTTTTATTGCAAATGACCCTATAGCGGTAATACTAGTCACCAAAAAATACATGCAAAATGATAAGAAATAATAAAAATCTTACAAATTATGGTCAAAATTACATGTTATCAGTGTAAACCTATTGTATGTTTAATAAAAATGTTAATTGGGTTAAGTTATTACACATATTAGGTTAGGCCATTATTATTACATCAGTTTTTGTCGTTATGACGCCTATCACAAAATAATACATCCTTGTTAGTTTTAGATACAAATGAAACATTTAAAATTCCTACCATGAGATTTTTTTATTTAGGAAAAATACTACCATCAAGTGGTAAAAAAATTAATAATTATTTTTTGTTGGGAAAAATGTTGTTTATCGTTCTGAAACATCTAATATTAGGTTTTGATTACAAAAGTCAACAAATTACGTGCAGATGTAAAATTTAGCCATAATTTTTAAAGAAATATGCAATTGACCAGTGTTACCCACTGACCGTCGTTCCCCGTGTTCCCCTAATGTGAATCCGGCTTAACATATGATATTGGAGAAAGATAGAGCTAGTTTGAGCAAAACGATAAGATTAAAACACATGCCCAACCTTACAAATTAGCTCTGTCTCTCTCTCACGTATCTTGGTAACATTATTAGGTTTCAATGCACGGTCCATTTAGTAAGATGTTTAAATACCATGTGCTGGCAAAGATCGGAACACTGACAACACGGGATGTAGAAAAAAATCCGTTTTCAAAACGAAACGCAGGACAGGCGGAAATAATAGTATTATTATATATTATTGTCTTATGTGCACTGAAATCAACAATTAGTTCTACGGATACTCCGAAACGGGAACTATCCTCACACACGTGGTTATTTGGGAAGGCGACATCGAGTGAAGGGCTTAGTGGAGCAACCATATAAATCCAACAATTACCTACAAAGGTTTCGCAAAAATGCGTTTTTGCTTACCAACGAGATTATGAAAACCCAAAAAATATCATTAAACCTTTTTCCTAGATAAGGTGGAAACTTGTTCTATACTTCATTTTTTATGTGTAGTTTTTTTAATAAAATCTGAATGTTAGTCTGAAGACACGCCTAGTGTAAACCTAAATAATAGTCCCTAATTTTTTTGTTTTTCTTTTTGGAAATATGTTTGTTTGTATTCTTGTAATATTGTAAGTATTCCGGTCGAGATCTTCAGGAGGTTACTTTCAATTTAACCACGTACGGTTAGATACTAAAGTTTTTAAGTTGAAAGGGCATTAGAAAAAATAAAAAATAGCATATCTGCTCCGCATCGAAGCTAAAAGGTATAAATATTTGTAATTTTTATATTGTTGTACACAGGTAAACCGGTATGCCCACATTTCATCAATAAGAGAAACTATAATGTTGTAATATTATTCAAAAAAATTAATTAATATAAGGTATCTCACACTGTGCTTAGGTAGTGTAGTGATATATAGATCCAGAAAGGATTCTTCGATGACTTCCTCGTTAAAACTAAAGCGTATGTATAAATATGACCTTTTAAATTGCAAAACGTAATGCTACAAAGATGGTTTGATTTAGAAACAAAATGATGGTAAATTCAAAAGGAACATGTGTATTTAACGACTTTTAATTACTACCTACACACGGTCGTGAGGGTTTATTAGTTATTACACGTGGGGTTGCACGCGTTTATGAAAACAACTATTGGTGAAAATTACACTTGAATGTTTTTTGGAGAGTGTATTAAATAATAAATTTAACAAATAAATATTGTTAATTACAACGACTTGCAACGCAACGAGGGCGTTTTCATAATATATTGAATTAAGCCCAGGCGGCAATCATTAAATATAAATCTTATTTCATTAATTTCAAATCTGATTACAATAAATTCATTATACTATTGTATCTATGGAATATATTATATTACTAACTATACATGACCGTTGTAAAATAACATTAGGTAATTAGGTTGTACACAATAATTGCATTAAGGTAAAGGTAATGTCGACGAAATATAATTTCAATGCAATTTAATGATACAAGACTAGATCAGATTTGATTGGTCTTAACATGGCTGAAGAGTAGATTATTAAGTTAAAGAAAATTCATTTTTATTAAGGAGTAGGTAGTAGTAGGTATTATGTTGGTTGTTTTTTCATACAAGAAAAGATACAATAGGTACTGTACAACCACTATATACATTATTAAATTGTATCTTACCTTACAATAAGCGTTAAGTTTAATTAAATTAAAGTGAATCAAACTAAATTTTCAGCCAACGGCGACATTTCAACAGTAAAGTCAACTAGAAAATGTTGGATATCTCTTTTTCGTTTTTGAATGTTATAGTAAAATAGTTGGGAATTTAAAAATTGACTAAAACTTATTAAAGCGTTGACAAAAACAAATTTACTTAATATTTGTTTACGTTATGGCTAATGTAGGTTTTATAACGGCGTTTTCTAAGGAGTTGTGTATAGGCAACCGTTATAGTGCACGCTGTCGTGCATGTACTAATTGAGTTTGTGTGTAAAACAACATGCATTGCACGCAGAAGCTTCCGCATGACCAAATATGTAGACTACAAATACCGTAGTGCGCATGAATAAGTATTATATTTTGGTTAAAAAAAAAAAACATTTTGTTTTCTCATGTTAAATTAGATATAACAAGTCAAAATGAACAATTATGATTAGAATATATTTTAATCATGTAATTTTTCGCTATGGCTGTAGCGACTGTGTTGTTTCAGACGAAATATGTGCCGCGATACCTTTGGAATGAAAACTTAATTGTTTCTATTATATAATGCGTCGATGGTATTTACAAATCGTTTAAATTCCA